CCTGAATGACCCCAGAGGCTGACCCTCTGGAGACATCTGGTCCCTGACCCCATCTGTCTCCAGCTGCCTGGAACAGCCATTGTGGGCCCTTCACCCTCAGCAGGTGGGTGCTGTTTGTCCTGCTGGGGCAGGTGTGTCGGGGCACTTGGGAACAACAGGCTTCTCTGTCCAGGTCCCCCTGTACTCAAGTCCTCAGGAAGGAGCCCACCCTGGTCCAGGACAGGGACTCTAGAGACGAGCAGGAGTGGGGCCACTGGGTCTGGCCCCTTGTCACCTGGGAGTGGTGGTGGAATGGGGCTCACCCGTCTGGCCAGTGTTTGGGGGCCTGGTGGTGGCATCCTGGCCTGAGCATAGAAAGTCAACACCAAGACAAAAGTATGCCCAATTGCGGGGTCTTTATTGCCGGCGGCCACAGAGGACTCGTGTCTCTCCAACCCGTGGCCCTGAAAGGAGGGTGTCAAGATCTTTTATACCTGTACAACCACCTCAGGGGTGAGGGGCGGGGGTGGGGGTGAGGGGCTTCAGACGTTCTGAGAGGTAGTCGATTCTGTAAATCACCTCCTGGGCGGAGATGAGGGTGAGGGGCTCCGGACACTCTGAGGGCCAGGGGATTTTGGACATTCTGATTGTTACGTAAGTGGTTCACAGAAGTCAAGATTAGCATTTGTTTACACATTGTCTGCGTAGGGTGGAAATCACAAGTCGCAGGGGCCAAGATGGCATGGGTTTGGACTGCTTGCCTGTCACATTTGGGTTACAGAGAGCAGTTTCAACAGAAAGCCAAGGTATGGTTGAGGTATGCAGTTTTATGGGGCTTTTGCCATGTCACAGCGGGAGCCATTGGGGTGTTCTCTGGAGCGCTGGGTGCAGCAGAATGCTCGGATGACTCTTGCAGGATGGAGATGGATGAGGACCCAGGTATCCTGCCCACCTAGGGGCAAGGCAGCCTCATCGTTACTAAGTATGAGCAGGTACAGTTCAGGCCAGTCCCTCGAGGGAGGTGGGGCCTCACCTTCCCCACTGTACCTGGCCAGAGGGTCCTGGGCTCCCTAGGATCACAGGGTGGAGGCGGGCTGTCCATGCCCTCAGGACCCCAAGCCCCTCACCTTCCCTGCGGCCCCTGCCCTGGCCCTTGCTGGGTCACAGGAATGCCAAGCTGGGGCAACAGTGGACATGGGACCTGAGCATGGTGACCTGAAAATTCACTGATCACCTCCGGATTGTGCGGTGAGTCCTCTGTCCCCCACACATCAGTCTCATATCAGGGAGGGTTTTGTTCTTAGAAAGGCCTCTCTGAGGTACGGCAGGTCTCCCCAGCTCAGGCCAGTCTCTCCAGGGTCGAAACTCCTCCCTGCCTCTCCTGCAGGTCCAGCCTGTGGTCAGGGTTAGGGCAGAGCTTCAAGGCCCATCTAGGGAGCTCGGGAGAGCAGGTGGGACAGAGAGGGGCTGGTCAGACCCCTGGGCTCTCAGCACTGAGGTCTCCACTTGAGCAGGAGAGGAGGGGGCAGCCTGAGGGTCTGGCCCTGTCCCTTTGGGGTCTGCCCTTGTGAGATCTGAGGGTGGTGGCCACAGGGCTAAGGGACACCTGGCCAAGCCTGTGAACAGTTGTGTAGCAGGTCTCCGAAGGCTCAGGAAGCCCCGCTGAGTCATCCTATAGGGAGGGGCATGGGGACATCAAGGGCTGTGACCCTGGGAGGCTGGGGGAGTTGAAGGGCAGGGCCCAGCCTGGGCATCTCTGGTGAGGCCAGGGGGGCAACAGAGCATCCAGCTGAAGGCCCAGGAGTGGTGCTGGGAAGGGCTGTGGGCCTGGAAAGGGGAGACCAGCCTGGAGCTGACCCCTCAGGACTTAGAGGATGGAGAAAGGGAGGAGCCTGGGGGAGGGAGGCGGGGTAAGCCTGTGAGACCTGCCACTTCTGGGACACACCTGAACCAAGCCGGCCCAGGGTGGAGCTGACAGTCTGGGGAGGACAACAGATGAGGTGAGCAGGGAACAGTGGCTCACCTGGGACCCTTCAGTGGGGGTACTCGGTCAGTCCCCAAGGCTCTGCATGGCCCTCCAGAGACTCTGCTTCCCACTGGCTCAGTCAACACTGTGGATGGTGGATGGGAGGGCAGAGTCGGGGGCAGGTAGGACAGTGGGGGAGGACAGCCAGGCACCCCATGTCCCAGTTTTTGCAGTGGCTGAGAGGAGGCTGAGGTCTGAAGGCTGACTGCCCTGAGAGCCAGCTGAGGCTGGAGGGGGGGTGGTGGGGCAGCCCCCCGACTGCAGGGCCCTCGGTCACCTTTGTTACCCCAGGATTTTCCACAGCAGCACTGGGCAGCCCAGTGAGAGTGGCCAAGGCAGGGGTATGGACAGATCCTGGGGGTCTTATTCTTAGGCTGTGACAGGAAGAGGGTCACAGAAGGGCCAGGGTGGCCAGAGAGGGTCACAATCTCTGGGGGAAGACGGGGAACAGGCAGGGTCAGTGGCCAGGGTGCAGGCAGAGGCCGGTGCATGCTGGGAGGTCAGACCCTGCAAGACCCGTGTGGAGTGTCCGGTGGGACGGGCTCCAGGTGTGTCCTCAGGGCCCTGGGCAGCTCTCAGCCCAGGCTCCCTGGACTTTGGTGGGTGATGTGGTCACTCCCGAGGCACTGCTGTCAGTCAGGGCTTGGCCACCCACCCTGGGCGGCACCCATCTGGTCTCAGGACTGGACTTGCTCAGCTCCCACAGAGGGCGTTGCCCAAGATGGGCAGCCCCATTGTGCAGCCCAAGGCACCCCACAGGCCCCAAGTGCTCCCCTCAGGCCAGCCTCAAGCTCCCTCTCCTCCAGGCTCCCAGTGCCTCGCGGGCGGTCAGCTCCACAGGGAGGCTCTTGCCTTCCTTCCCTGTGCCTTCTTCCGGGCCAAGACTTAGGATGGATAGGGATGGCTGGTCCTTCCCTGGGGTCCTCTCTGGGAGGGGGATGGATGCTGGCCTGGGCAGGCTCTCAGCTCTGCCTGGGTTGCCATACAGTGAGACGGAGCTGCCCCCCGTCAGTGTTCTGGAGGTGAAGGTAAGAGCCTGGGCCTGCTGTGTGGGAGGCTGGTCCAGGGGCAGGGAATCGGGTGGGTGAGGCAGCGGGGCTGGCCCACGGGCCCAGGTGGTGAATGGGCCACAGCTGTCACTGGGAAGGGCAGCCATTCCTGCTGGAATCTGTCCCCTGAGGGTTTCACCAAAACCCAAGAACTGCTGGCCCAGAGGTCACTGCCTGTTTGCACCAAGTCCTGAGCTGAAGCCTGGGACTGACCGAAACTCAGGGCGTCTGTGGCCTGAAGATGGTATGTCCTGGTGTCACCAGTCCAGACTGCCAGCTCGTTAGTTCAGAGGGTCTCAGCCCCTGGGGTCTGCCCTTTCCTGGCTCCTTCCGGTTGGGTCCCTTCCGGGCCCTGAAGCCCAGGACCCAGCATCCACGGGCCGCTACCAGAAGCCTGACAGCTCCGCTAACTCCATCATGGCCCGTTTCACAGCAAAGACGTCAGGAAATAACACAGATTAAGAAGTGGCTGAAGATGCTCAGAGACTGACCGAAATACAAGAAAAACAAAAAAGCAACAAGGGGAAGGAAGGGCCCCCGTGACTGCTCTCTGCAGAGCCAGGAGACAGGTGCCCATGGCTGTGACCTGGCACCACCTGCCTCTCAGTGGGTGGGTGGCACCCATCCTCACCATAGACAGCAGGCCTGCTCGCCAGCTTTCCTCCATGGGGTCACCCGTGTCCTGTCTCAGTGGAGCGTTCTTTTGTCTGTAGCTCTCCCAGAGTGTACAAAGGCATGCCCTTGGCAGTTCAGGACTGGATGTGGCCACTCCTGCTAGACATTGAGGAAGTCAAGGCTGAGAACCCAGGGAAATACAAGGTACAGCCCTCCCCTCCCATATTCAGCCAAGGCAGGACAAAAACAGGCCAGGCTGTATCGGGAGCCCGGGACTCTAGCTGAAGGGAACCTGGAGCCCGGGTTGGGAGTTGGGGTTGTGGTCAGATGCACATCCGGGCACAGATGGTGATGCAGGCACCACAGGTGCGCTGGGATCTGCTGACACTCCCTGGCTTCAGAAACAAAGCAAAAAGCAGCTTTCTGCAGAAGGAAACCGTCCTCTCTTCCTTCCAGAAGGTACAGGTCTGTCAAGGTGTGAAAGCGGAGTGTTCAGTATTGCACCTCATCTCTCAGTCACAGTGTTCCCATTCCTGTCCTGGAAAGATGGAGTTTTGCTTAAGTTCTTAGGACCCAGACAGAGCGAAACTTTCCCTAAGGGCACACAAAAATGGCTCTATTTAATGTGGAGACAGCACTAAGCCTGAAACCCGGGGCATTCTCTGGTGTTCTTAGTGTTTCCAAGTGAAGTCAAACAACTTTCCACAAAGGTTTGCCACAGAGGCCTCCCAAACTGGAGGGGCAGAACTATTGAGAACTCGACAGGCTTCAGAATCAAAGATGAGGCCAAGCAGCAGAGTCCTGACCCGCTGAGGGCAGGGGAAGCATGTGGGGGCAGCTGGGAGAGGCCGTCAGAGGTCCGCCATGGCCTTGTGATCGGTCACAGAACCATGCACTTGGATGGCTGTGTGCGTCCCCTCTCCACTGATCGTAGTTACTTCTTTCCGTCTGCTACAAAATGCACGTAACCACAGACCAGGTCGTGCAAGCCAATCTGGCAAATTCAGCATGTCGAGGGCTTCAGGTAACTTTCGTGCACACCCAAGTCTGAAGGTCCACGGCTGTCCTGAATCCTGGTGTCGCCTTCCTGCCCGCAAAAAGAGGGAAAAACTCAACCAGCAGCAGGCCAGGCACAGAAAGGGATGAAACATGAGTGTGTGACCTTCCTGACACCCATACAAGACTTTGGCACAAAGCCAGGCCACGGCTCTGGCCCCTGACTCGGACCAGGGACGCCCCCCATGCAGGCTGGTCAGCCCTGGCTGTTCTCCCTCCTGCCACCTTCTGTTTGGCTGCTTGTGTCAATCAAAGGAAAATCAGCCAGTTTTCAGAAGAAAATGTAGCTTTATTATGACATAGGAGAGACTACAAAGCATTAGGGGAGGAGGAGAAGGAATTACACAGGGCCTCAAAATGAGAGGGGAAAGGAAAGTAACATCTTGGTAAATAAAGTTTCCAACCACGGCACAGTCATTAGAATTTTTTTCTTAATTTTTATTTTCAAACTTACAGTAAACAAGTCACTTAAATTGTCAAAAGAACAGCAATTTTACACAAGGAAAAGCACACACACCAAGGCAAAATACAACAGCACTCGGGTCTATAGGTTGCAGGGGTGCTGGTGCCGGAGGGAACGTCCAGGGAGGTTCCAGTGCCCACCAGGGAGCCCAGGTCCACAGAGGGCCCCGGGGCTGGAGGGAGGCCGCCCACACTCCCAGCCCATCACCTGCCTCAAAGCACTCCCTTCAGACATCTGAAGAGGGAAAGCCCATTTGTCTTCCTGTGAAGCAGTAAAAGGACAGCCAGCATCTCCAAAATGCGGGCTATTTTAAATACACTGGTGTGAATGGGTTTTTTTTTGGGGGGTGGGGGGTCACCCTGGGGGTCCCTTAGGGGTCAGATCCACTTTGTCACAATTTACACCTACATGGGGCGATTACTAGGCAATGGGAGAACAGGTTTCCTGAATTTCACAGCCAGATCAGAAGCTAAAGGGAGAGATTCCTGAATCCAACTTGCAAATATTTTGTTCTGACAAAGTAAATTCACAAGAGCACATCAAACACAAGACCTAATGCAGGTGGCAGTGCCCAGGGCCGCCGCCTGCCTCCAGGGAGCAGCTCTTCGGCAACAGGTAATGGGGTAATTGCTTAGAACAGCAACGCCACAGTGAATGGGGGATAACTTGGATACAAAAGTTGAGAATAATGCCCGCCAAGAATGCAGGTGGCCAGGTCTCTTCCCAGATCTAATGTTCTCAGAACAACCGCCACCTCTGAATGCAAGTGCAGACAGAAGAGGGGCGGGAGGGGAGGCAGGGCCTGGCCAACCACAGGCAGCTGCCAGAAAGGCCCAAGGCCCATGCTACTGCCTTCCACACTCTGCAAGACGCCGCCATAAACCAGGGTGTCCCCAGGTGGCAAGCCTTCAGGAAGGCACTGCCCGGCTAACAATCCCGTGGGCCAACGTCAGTCAACTCTCCTTTCCGTTAGATTTGTTCCCGATTAAAAGATAGCTCATCCTCAAAGGAGATCATCAAAGCATTGTCACCCAGACAACTTGGTCACGTGGGGCCATTTCTAAAATCTCGGCCCATCTCTGTTTCTCTGACAATTCATTTGATAAAACATGCTTCCACATGAATAAACGCGGAACGACAACAGAAAATGAGCACGTGTGTGAGAAATCGAATCCCCAAGGCTTCTGCCATACATGATGGAAACTGCACCCCCAAGACTTCTGCCGCATGATGGTTCTGTGGGGTGTGATCGCCAAGTCCTGCGTTCTCATGTTTTCTACACTGAGCAGTGAGTAGCTACTCAGCTGCCACTGTCACTGCCCCTCCCCACCCAACCGGCTAAGGAACATTTTTAAGCAGTTAAAAAGAAAATCTAAGTTTCTTGACATGGAACATTATATGCAATTCAGATTTCTGTGTCTACAAGTTGTACTGGTCACAGCCACACTTCTGTGTATTTATGGCAGAGACCGTACAGCCCACAGGGCCAGAGGGCTCACGACCCGGCTGTCTACGAAAACATCTGCCCACCTGAGACAGGATCCCACTCTCTGCAGGACTGAAGAGCCCTCAGTTCAGATGCAGCTAGGGCTCCCGGAACAAGCACAGTTTGAGATATGGTTGCTTCAAAAACCGTAAAGTATTATTTTACCTCCCCCTTGTTCCTAGTTTGTAATTTCCCAGTGGACAAATGGACAAAGCAGTGGTTTAAATTTGAATACACAGATACATGCAAGATATCTTACAAGGAACAACGCACATCCTCCAACTTCCTCCCTTGGCTCTGCAGACAAGTTCAATCACGATGTCATTTTACCCCACCACACCCAGAAGTACACCAGACGTAAAGCAGAGGCTGATAAGACAAAGGCCCTAGGAGAAAGCACGCCAGCTTCGCGAGCAACACTCTTGGATGCCACGTGGCGGGAGCCAGGCCACGGGACAGAGGGCAGACGAAGAAGCAAGCACGAGGGAGGGAACCGATCAGACACCAGCAGAGGCTGGACTGACTCCAGACTGAGATGACAGACACACGGCGTGAGCTGCAGCACGACTCAACACTGCGCTCACTGCCAGCCACCCGCAGACACCACGGCGCCCAGACGAGCCAGGCACACCGGGCGGGCAACAACATAAACAGCACCAATTAAAAAGCAAGACTCGCTCTCAAGACCAAAGGAGAAGTTACCTAGCCTTCCGTATAAACTCAGTAATTCATTCACTTTACTAGTGTTACATTTATGAAATTCACCTTTGTGGAAAAAGGAAAGGGAGAGGGGTAAGAAAACTCCTGTTTCTAGAAAACTGTGGGACGCTTCCTCGTGCAGCTTGTTGCTAAGTTACCTGCGGAACAGACACGCTTGAAAACCCAACACAGTGTCCTTCATTCTGAAGCTCTGGGGCTGCTTCACAGCCGCTGAGAAAAATGGAGGTGAGGAGTTCCACACTCTCCGTATCTTAACACGAAAACATGAACAGAAAGGCATCTGCAAGGCCCTCTGGCCCACACACTACACCTGTGTGTCTTCAGCTTACTGCTTTAACGGACCCATAATCTTATGGCAGGCAGGGGACTTTCCACACGGAGTGCTAGGCAGCGCTAGGCGGCGGTCACTCCGTGCTGAGGCCCCCGTTGGAGCCCCATATTATGAGCACAGGATACTATGACGGGTGCACGCTGCTCCCCCCACCCAGAGCACACCCCTCATCTCATCCATCTTCATGTAGCTCCGGGAGCCCCTCCGTCCACGTGGTCCATCTCGAACCCAGGGGTCCCAGGTGCAGAGGGGCCACTGCTGCATGGGAGGTGGTGTCACCAGGCCGGGGAGGCAGGGGTTGGGGTTGGGGGGCAGGGAGGATCACTTTGTGAGGCTTGCCAATTCGTTGCCTTTGTTTTTCTGACCAGCTGCGGATAAGGCTACTCGTATTCCAGGAACTGTTTGTGATAGAACAGCAAGTAACTGCGGAGGAAGAGAGAGGGAGGATGCTCACATCTAGCTCCTCAGACAGGGAGCCAGAACGGCCCGCCCTACATGCGCGCACGCGTGTTCTGCACGGCTCAAGGCCTGATTGCATGGGTTTGGCTTTTCAGGCCCGAGGAAGAAAGAGTGCTTTGGTGGCTGATGGCACTGACCCCGCCATCACCGCAGCCTGACCACCACTCCCACCTGCCATGAGGTCACCCACTGCCTTACCCAATCGCCCACAGACTCTCCCACACTCCTGACAGTCCCACCCTTGTGCGGAGCCCACTGCTTTTAAGCGGGTCCAGCCCAGATCCATCTTGTCGCCCCGAAGGCTGTCCTTTATCCCACAGATTCTTCCAAATAAAACCTCTCAAGAGGGCTTCCGTGTGGCTCAGAATGTAAAGTGCAAAGCCCTCAAGGAGTTGATGGCAGCTGGGGTCCCCTTGACCCCTGGAGGGTCAACAGGTTTCTATGCCATGAAGGAATGAAACTGGCAAGGAGAGGAGCTGATAAAGAACTTATGTGGGCCAGGCGTGGTGGCTCACACCTGTAATCCCAGCACTTTGGGGGGCCGAGGCAGGTGGATTGCCTGAGGTCAGGAGTTTGAGATGAGCCTGGCCAACATGGCAAAAGCCCATCTCTACTAAAATACAAACTTAGCCAGGCGTGGTGGCACATGCCTGTAATCCCAGCTACTTGGGAGGTTGAGGCAGGAGAATCGCTTGAACCCGGGAGGCGGAGGTTGCAGTGAGCCGAGACTGCGCCATTGTACTCCAGCCTGGGCAACAAGAGCGAAACTCTATCTCAAAAAAATTTAAAAAATAATTAAAAAAAGAACTGATGTGTTCAGTTCACACAGTTAAAAAACAAGTGCCCTCGAGTTCTCTGCGCTAAGGGAACACCCCCAGAGAGCGCCTTTGCTCAGGCACCTCTCCTCCCACGTGAGTGCCCATGGAGGCTGGCATGCTATTCAGAACAGGTCTCACTACTTCGGCAAATGAAGGTCAACACCTTCAGACTGGTTCTAGGCTCAGACGTGGGCTGGTCTCAGCTATACCGAAGAGGAAGCAGCGCGACCACCACACGGCCTTCCTCCCACCCCATGGGACGCACCCTTCACTGTCCAGCACGTCCTTGATGCTGGCCTTGGTGATGATGGCATCGTCACACTTGAACCACTGGTCTTTGTGCTGCCGAATAAAGCTGGTGTAGTGGCCGCTCTCCAAGGTCCCTTGATGGTTAACAACAGCAAACAGGGAATACCTAGTGCAGGAGAAGAGAGGAGAGGGGGGTGCAGCTGACTCCACGCCGTCACTCGAGGTCTTCATCATTAGAAGCCAGGCTGCCCGCGCAGGGAGCGGGAGGCCTGTGAGCCTGGCTGTTACCCCCTGGGCCTCAAGCTGAGGCTGCAGGGACTAAGGGAGCCTGGTCATGCCCTTTGGCTCTAGCCCAGGTCCAGCCACTTCCTGGATCCATATCTCACAGGCGTGGTGACTCAGTCAGCAGTGGAGACACTGGAACATCCTACTAGCCTTTCATTCTTTCTACAACCTCAAGGCTAGAAGAATGGACACCAAGCTTTCCAGATGGAACCTTCCTCCTGCCAGAGGCCAGGAGTAGAGCTGGACTCCTCCAACAGGAGGGAGCATTTGTGGCACCACATAAAATGGCCTTTCCTAGTGGGGCAGTGGGCAGCCAGGCAGGAAGCAGGTTGGTGGCAGGAGATCTGCTGGTGCCCTAGAAGCAGACAGGGGCCCACCCCCAGCTCTCGGCCAGAGGCCCCGGACACCCACACCGCTGAGCACCACTTACTTGTTGTCGTTGTTGAGGCTGTCCGTGGGCTGCTGGTACTGTCCGTTCATCCTGCTCTCTTTGCTGTAACAAACAACGGCAGGATTCAGCATCATTACAATCACCAGGCCCAGAGACACAAGGCTCTCATGAAACCAACACTTATCCAGGCCTGACCGAGCAGACGCGGCGCTGGGGGGCGCTTTATGCTGCAGGGAGAAATCTCCCCACGTTTCGTGAGGACACTGACGCTCGAGTTGTCAAGTCCCCTGCCTGAGAGCACACCCAGGTCCTGGGGCCATCTGGCCTGACCCCTGGTTCTTCCAAGGTGGGTCCTGAATGGGCCCGGTGATGGGAGCTGGATCTGGATGAATGTGAGTTTGGTTTGTGACACAGCAGGCGGTGAAGGCGCTCTTCCTCCCACACATAACGGGTTAGCTTGAAAAGGGTAAGCTGAATCCATTCCACAACCTAGGCAGCTGCCTCCTCAAAAGGACAAAGATCGCTGCTCATTATTTCAAGACGGGCACCTCTCCTGGCCAGACGGGGGAGGAGCAGCTGGGAACAGGAAGCATGTGCGCCATTTACTGCATTTTCCCACAGTGTGTTTGGCAGGAAACACCCAAGATCTCTGAAACTCTGACCTCAGCAACAGCACTGCCACGCCCCTCAGTAAGTGACCATCATGGTCAGATTGACAATACCGAGCTCTGACTCTGGTGGTCTTGTTTTATTCAGGAGATCATCTGTGTGCCACAGGGATGGAACAGCCACGAGAAAGGACACCAGGGGCCAGGCGCAGTGGCTCACACCTGTAATCCCAGCACTTTGGGAGGCCAAGGCAGGAGGATCACAAGATCAGGAGTTCAAGACCAGCCTGGTCAAGATGGTGAAACCCCATCTCTACTAAAATATAACAAAAATTAGCTGGGTGTGGTGGGGTGCACCTGTAACCCCCACTGCTTGGGAGTCTGAGGCAGGAAAATTGCTTGAACCAGCGAGGCGGAGGTTGCAGTGAGCCGAGATCACGCCACGGCACTCCAGCCTGGAAGACAGAGTGCGACTCCGTCTCAAAAAAAAAAACCACAAAAAAAACACCAGGAAGAGGCCGATTACCAAAAGGCAACACGATTTCCATGGTGCTGGGGCTGCAAAAAATAACACCCTGCAAATAACAACATCCACGTCTCAACCCTCAGAACCTGATTCTGGAAGCTCATCTGGGAAACCGGACTTTGCAGAGACTCAAGGTCAGGATGTTGAGAATGACATCCTCCTGGACGGTCTGCCTGGGCCCTAACTCCAACAACCTCTGTCGTGACAGAGAAACAGAGGGAGACAGGCCACAGACTCAGGGGAACCAGCCCTGTGACCAGGAAGCCGGGGGAGTGGCACGGCCACAGAAGGAACACGTGGAACCACTGGCAGCTGGAGGCGGTGAGGAATGGAACCCCCCAGACCCTAGTAGGAATGTGAGGTCCTACCCACCTTGATTTCACATTTCCAACCTCTAGAACTGTGAGGAAATTAATTTTAATCCGCCAAGTTTTTGGTCATTTGTCACAGAGCCACAATAAATTCCTATGTGTCTCATGCATTGAACAGCCTGGTATTCTGGAGGGTTAAATTCCAAGTGGCCCATAATATGCAGATTTGAAAAGGAAAATGCAGTCTACAACTGCAAAGCCAGCTGTGCCTATCTGTACTTCACCCTCTGTTCCAGGAAGTAAAGCGTTACCTTCCCATTGTGATCCCGCCTTGAGGAATCTGCCCGTTTGAAAGTGGACTGAGAATTGTTAGAGAAACATTCAAAGCAAAAACAAGGTGTCTGACAAAGAACAACTCATTAATGTGTGCCGTATCTTAAGATAGGTTTTGGGAAGGTGGGGTTTATATTAATATAAACAGTCATCTTTTTTTTTTTTCCCCAGAGCCGGAGTCTCCCTCTGTCACCAGGCTGGAGTGCAGTGGTGCGATCTCGACTCACTGCAACCTCTGCCTCCCAGGTTCTAGCTGGGACTACAGGCGTGCGCCACCATGCCCAGCTAATTTTTGTATTTTTAGTAGAGACGGGGTTTCGCCATGTTGGCCCAGATGGTCTCGATATCTTGATCTCGTGATCTGCTCCCCTTGGCCTTCCGAAGTGCTGGGATTCCAGGCATGAGCCACTGCGCCCGGACAACAGGCATCTGACAGGAGTTCCAAGCGGGATTCCTGTCCTGATAGGATCACACACCCTCTGGACACAGAATGGGCCAACACCCCCACCTACCTGGAGGCCATGAAAGGGGTCATGTCCAGCTCCAGGGGGAAGGAGACATACGTGGTGATCTTCCTCCGCAACTTGGCTGAATGTTCAAATCGCTGCGGAAATAGGAAAGGGGCAGAGGGAAGAGGAAAGAAGACCAGAAACGTCACTGGAAGCTTCAGGGGCTTCTTGCGATGACAGGTGGCTATGAATCTCTTCATATTTTATTGAATTGCCTTGTGGCTACATCTAGAATTAGATTCAAATAACAATGGTAATCCATACAAGTCTTCATTTACAGAGTTCAAGTCAAGTCTTCAAATGACCAGCGTGTTCAGTACCCAGAGTACAAAAAGTAATCTCGCAGCAAACCCAGCAGAGCACAGAAAACAAAACAAAGATCCATGACCTGCGACAGAAAAAACCAACCGACTGTTCCTTTCACCGACAGACAGTCCTTCGCCTAATCAGGAGTTACCCATTTCCGCCAGCAAGCTAGGAATGGGTGCGTTCCATGTTTAAAGGGTGGTCAAATGAAACAAAGAACATGCAACAGAGAACCGTATGCTCGCACGCAGCCTGTGGAGCCTGACAGCTTCACCATCTGGGCCTTTAGACAAAGAGCTGGCCAACTCCTGGACCAGACTGAATCCTGAGGGCCTTTGTCTTCAAATAAAAGAAAAACAGAAAACCTGAGGAGGGAGAAGCTAGAGGAATTTGCGTAGAAAAACTTCACAAGGCTCTGCTCCCCAAGAAAAGCTAACTCACATCCTACTTTCACTGTGAAGCCACTCATTCTGTTTACCGCGGCACAGACAAAAGGACAATTCACAGACAGAACGTCCTCCATTCCTCAGTGTTCTTGCTGGCTTGCTGTAATGATAGAACATGTAACTGCACAGGAAACCAAAAGGCTGAGGGCCGTACTGTGGACTGAAAATTGAGCCTGCCACTCGAGTCGGCTTTCTGGAAAACTCACTTTGAGATGAAAACAGGCTACAATGGGCAGTTTCTTCATGGTGAGCTGCTTCGTGGACTCCTGGTAGCTGTGGCACCCGCTACATTTGATCTTGGCGCTGCTGCCCAAGTGCTCTGGTCTGGTGAATCTGCAGGCGTTTAAAAAAGACAGGAGCAGTAAGGGAAACGTAAGAGACAGAAAAAAAGAGGAGAAAGGTATTTTGTCTCTTTCAATGGGTTGATTTCCCTACCAAAAACACACACAATACGACTAAAAATGAAAATGAAAAAGACAGACAATGTTGTCCACCTTTGCTGCCTATCTCTCTTTAAAGAATATGTATCCTAAATACTGTGTTCCCAGGAAAGGCCTGAGGAAATGGTAATAATTTCTAACTACTACATGATCCAGCAGTTGAATCTGAGCCAGAAAAATGAAAACTAATGTTCACACAAAAACTGTCCACAAATGTCTACCAGAATGTTACTCATCAGAGTCACAAAACTGGAAACAACCCCTTTCTTCCCATGGGTGAATAATTAAAGAAACTGTGGAACACTGTACTGAGTGGAACAAGAGTCAGCAGCAAAAAAGGAAAGAACCACTGATCGATCCCAAGCCACACCCTGGATGCATCCCCAGAAAATCACGATGCGTGAGAAAAGCCAATCTCAAAGGTTCCCTGTTGCAGGATTCGGCTGATGTGACAGTCTGGAATTGTAAGGCGTATGCAAATGGAGGAGTCCTGGGTTACTGGGGTTACAAATGGGGTAATAAGGAAGGAGGCCATGCTGGGTACTTTCTGCATAAACATCTGAATCATGGCAAGGGCATTGCACCACAGTGCTAAGGAGGTCACCATCAGGGGACCTGGGTAGAGGGTAGCTAATGGCTTCTTACTGCATCTCAACGTAAGCAGTTTCATGCAGACAGGCAAGACGTCTGGGAAAGGTAATTTCCCGACGGTGCAGAGGCAGGAGTAGGCGGGCTGCGTCAGAAGTGTGTCTGGCACAGGTGGCAGCTGCCACCAAAAAAACCTGTGGAACAGACGATTCAACAAAGCGCATGCCAAATTTTAAAACTGAAACACTAGCAAAAAAAAAAAAAAAAATCCATCTTTTCACAACCAGGCATGGAAAGCCCTCGTTGATGTTCTGGAAATTCTGCCATCTCACCTAGGGCAAGAAGAGGGGGCCTCTGGGCAAAGCTGCATCTGTTTCATTGGTAGCTTTGTGATCTGCTCTCCAAAGGACTCGACAAGGAGCTTTTGCTTAACACAAAGTGTGGAAGGGTGCACTCCACCTCTCCCCCTTCCTGGAACCAGACCCATGCCATGTAACCGCTACCAACACAGGCTTCCTACACGCTGCAGTGTGTGAAGCGTAGTCTCTTCCTCACGCACGGTCTGCTGTTTTGGCAAAGCTTTCATTTTATTGTAATTTATGATTAAATTTAATTTAGTTGCAAAGACTTTCTTAAAAAAGGTTTTGGTTTCCATTGCTTATTTGCTAGTTTTCCGAATTTAAAAATGTGATACCCAATTTTATTATGCGGACTTACAAGTGTAACAAAGCTGATGCTTTCAAAATTCTAAACATTCAAACTTTCAGCAGGGCACAGTGGCTCACGTCTACAATACCAGCATTTTGGGAGGCTAAGGTGCGAGGACCACTTGAGCTCAGGAGTTCAAGACCAGCCTGAGCAACATGACAAGACTCTGTCTCTACAAAAAAAGAAAAACGACCAGGCACAGTGGCTCACGCTTGTAATCCCAGTACTTTGGGAGACTGAGGCAGCTGGATCACCTGAGGTCAGGAGTTCGAGACTATCCTGGCCAACATGGTGAAACCCATCTCTACTAAAAATACAAAAATTAGCCAGGCATGGTAGCGGGCACCTGCAATCCCAGCTAGTTGGGAGGCTGACGCAGAACTGCTTGAACCCAGGAGGTGGAGGCTGCAGTGAGCTGAGATCGTGCCACTGCACTCCAGCCTGGATGACACAGCAAGACTCGCTCTCCAAAAAAAAAAAAAAAAAAAAATCACAAAATCATCTGGGCATGGTGGCATGTACCTGTCGTCCCAACTACTCAGGAGGCCAAGGCAGGAGACCGAGGCTGAGCCGAGATGGAGGCTGCAGTGAGCTATGATGGCACCACTGCACTCCAGCCTGCGTGACAGAGCAAGACTCTATCTCAAACAATTAAATAAACATGCAACTTTGGTCCTGCTGACTATGCAGCCAGACAGAAACCAAAAGATTGTACCTCCTCTAAGGAATACGTCCCCTCAACAAGGATTCTCCTGTGTTACCTTTAATTGATGCAAATACAACAAAAAAAACACTTGACAAAGTTTAGGAAGGTTTTCTGCTGTCTTTACAATTGTACGCTACAGCTATTTAATACATTTAAAAAAAAAAAAAAAAAAAAAAAAAAA